CCATTTGCATTCACTTGGCACGGCCTCCGGTGGCAATTCAATCCATCACGGCGTGCCTCTCAAGGTGGCCTGTATATACGCCTGAACAGCGTCGGCCATCTGCACATCCCAGCCATCATGACAACCCAGAAAATCCGCCCAACGCGAGGCTTCAAATGAAGCGGGGGAGTTCCCCAAATCTTGAAACATCGCAGCCTCAAAGCTTTGGTTCTTCACTTGGTTCCCCAGCAACACGCCTCTACCCTTGAACTTCCTCTTAGGATCACCAACAGGCAACTGTGAGTGCTTTTCAACGCAAATGCCATGTGCGCGAGCCATGTGTATTTCCTCCCCCTTCGCTTTTGCTTCTCTGGCTACAGCGTCATATTCGAGCACCGCGCCAAGATCGAAGACCCCCTGGTCGATTAATCCCGACCACTCTTTCTTCATTGATGCTAATGCATCAGGGTTGGTCAACATCTCTTTCCGGCCTACCGGCCTGGATACCAAAGCGTCGAAGAATCGTACAACTTTCACAGCTTTCTCTCTGTGCTGTATTCGCTCAGAGGTCACGCACGGCATCGATGGGTACTTCTTGGCTTCACCGTCTTCGCCTATCGCAGGCATCGCGAGTGGCACCTTTTCAGAAACTATCTCAGCAGACTCCTCCCATTCATACCAGGTGAGGTCCGTCGATTCGTCGACCGATGGATCCGTCCCCGATGCTGTCTCAGCTTCGTCTTTATGACTCTCCATGACTGATGCAACCGCCTTCGTCCAGTTTGGAGTCGACTTTGATCGCTCCTCAGACTTGAACTTCCAGGCATAAATTACCAAGCTGAACGTTTCGTCTCATGACGTCTTGGGACTGTTTGGAATCCATGAGAACAACCACCCCGTCGACAGGATTAACAACAATCCTGACCCATTCAAGCTCAGCCAAGTGCTTCCCATCCATTGGGTTCTTGATCTTTGATATGTTCTTCCGCAATCCCCAATTGTACTGCCATTCTACTCCACCCAGCGGTTCCGAAGCATCGCTCGAATTCTCTTACCACCGGGCATCTGTAATGTCCGTGCCTCTGCCGGCGCGGAAATCTCAGACTCCTTACCCTTGGGATCTTCTTCTTTCCTTTTGCCACCGCCCTTCACCTCGGCCTTCTCTTCCTTGGTGTAATATTTACTCATCATCTTCCATTCTTCAGGAGTGAACTCCGGAGGTCTCGATGTCTTCATTAGCCTGAATCCAACCTTCCCGACAGGATACGGTCTTCCGGCCTTGTCGATTTTAACCTCCTTGCCATCGTCGTTGACGTACGTGATGCCATCCCCAGGTAGTCCAACTGACACGTGTGGAAGGTCGGACTTTACAACCTTCTCATCGCCCTTAGGGTGTCCATCTCCCTTCCCTTTTGAAGAGCTCGGTCTAGCATCTTCTCCTCCTGCATGATCCCCCCGATCTCCGGCGATTACCTCCGGGCCATCGTCGAGCAGTAGACCAGCGATCTGATCGACTTCATCGTCAAGCAGTCGCTTCTCGTCACTCTGCAGCAATTCAGGCTCGTAGTCCTCATCCTCGATCAGGCGGTCACGTGCATCCAGACCGATTGCATCGATAGACATCTCTATTCCTTCAAAGTCTCGTTGGCAACCTTGTACTTCTGTTGTATTGGGAATGTCAGAGGAGATTTCAGGATCATCCTCTCCGTCTGATGTGGCATTCTCAACCGAGGTGGAACCTTTGCCTTCTTGATGTTCAGCTCTGCACCCGCAAATGCAGTAAGTGCCCAAGCACGATATTTGTTTGCCCAATGCATGCCAGTGCTCAACACATATCCAGCAAATATACCAGTTTCCCCTCTCGGCTCGAACTTCTCCCTCTTTCCCCCTCGTGCTTCGCTCGGCTTGAAGTCCACTAGCGCACCAAAAGGTATCTTCTCGCCCTTGAACTCCTCGCCATGCAGCCTCATCCATGCACTCGATCCGTTCACCTCTTCGATGTTATGAGATGGCACAGAGTGGTGATGGCTTGCACCCAATAACACGTGGGTAGACCGGCATGTACTAGACAAGCCGAAGTCTGGTCGATGATGAATTGATTTGTTCTTTCAGCAAGGGAATTGTTCTGCGGCCGTCCAGGCAGCGATAGGTCGTGGTTCAGCTTCAGCTCCACGCACGCATTGATCAGTTCCGGGCCGTCGTCCGAATATACCTGCTTGATTTTCCTCCTCCCGCAGAAGTGCTTGATAGCCCTGACGACTGAGTCAGTGTCTCTTCTCGCGGTGGGATAAGCCATGATAATTCCGGTCTATATGTCCCGGATGATGAGCGCATACCTACCTTCCACTTCATGGTCTCCTGATGCCGTCACAAAGTCGAACGTCACCAGGTCACCGAACGTCTTCACTTCTCTTTTGAATGCTCCCGTTCGCGATCTGAAGTGTCTCATCTTTGCCTTGACGCATGATTCGCAGAAGGGATTTCGGTACCTGTGTGTAAGCAAATGAGCTATGGAATTTGCGTCCTTCTTGAGGACTCCCACTTTCCTCTTTATTGATGATCCTTCGTACACGTCTACTTCGATTCCGGCATCTGGATCATCTTCGTCAGCCTCTTCCTCGTGAGCTTCGGCATCACCATGTCGATGCGGGACTGGCCCAACATCCACAGGTATTTCCTCAGCCACGGGAGGCGGACGTACCGGACCGGCTCCTCCGGGTGGCCCGAAGTCGAATGCCCCGTCGTGGTGTTCGCCCTCGGCCTCTGCGGACTCACCGACAGCGGCGGGTGTGACGTCGTTCTCATCGTCACCTCCCTGATCTGCCTCGTCGTTAGTTACCATCGCCAATACTTCCGAAAAGTGCTCCTTGAGGTCGTCTATCGTAGGGCGATGCCTGTTACTCCGAAGTTTACCATCACTCACTAGGTACGGGATGTCGTCCTTGAACTGCAAGTGCACGAATCCCTGCTTTGGCGTAACCATGAAAGGTAGTTTACCAGGCATCCAGTGAAATGCATAACCCATCTTCATGCATCTCCTCCCCACTGACAATACCGTGGGTGTCTCATCCAATACATGCGGCTCGACAGTCTCGTCCAACTCGTCCACGACTATCTTGGCCACATCAGATGTGGAAGTGGAACCATTCGCGGTCTGGAACACGATCTCGTCGTCATCTTTCACGTTGTCGACACCCAGGCTCTTCGCCTTGGCTCTTCCGATGAGATCATGACCACATCCGGTGTCCATCAACCATTTCACCCGTTTGCTGATGCACGTTGACATGGCGAAAACGTTCTTCGGCATACCATGCGGTTTCTTCCAGTCGACAGCCGATTCCTTGATCTCGTCCTTGTTCCGATCATACTCGAACATTATGCTGCTCTCCTTGGTCACCGGGAAGTAGTGCTTCTTATATACATCATTCACCACTTCTCTCAGTATCTTCGCACGTATCAATGATCGTTGGACTTGGTAGGCTGATAATTCACGATGATCACTGCTTTTGAACTTCTTCTCATCGACGTACACGTACTGATAAGGCTCATTCTCATTGTCCTCATAACCGTACCATTCCCCTTTTCGTTCCCATTGCCTTCTCTCGTCTTCGAGGTAGGTGATCTCCCCATTCTCGTCGACGTCGAGCACTTCCTTGAACCACACCATTTTTCTCGGGGATCTCGGACTCGCCAGACCATCTCGATGATTCGCTCATCGCGTCGTCATCGTGCTCGTGGTAGATAGTCTCGGCTTCGTCCGGTTCGACCTGATCAACGTCCTTCTTGAAGCTTACCTTCCCTGCAGGAGCCGATTGCTTCAGGACTATCGCGGGCATTGCGATGGCCCTCCTCGCAATGGCAGGCGCTGCGGCTGTGGAGGTAGCCTTCGACTTGGCTTGCGCCTTGTCATTCGACGTTGCTGGAGCTGAATTGTTCTTGATGAGCTCGTGCCTGTACTTACAAGCGCTTCCCCTATCGCACTTCCCCTTCTGAAACGCGAAGCATGCTCCATCATCTCTCTTTGGTGACGATGATCTGGATTTGGATTTGCCCTTTCCTTTCCCCTTGGACATACTCTCCAACTTGTGCTCCGTCTTCGTGCTGTGGGAAAAAGTGCATTCATTCCCTTTCACGCACCCCTTCGCCGATTTGAAGTGGTACCAGCAGGGGTTATCCTTGCTTCCGCCCGGACTCTTGCCTCTGTCGCTGGCTCCGTCGGACTTGCCGTTCTTGCCAGCGTGGCCCTTTGCCTTGGCTTTTGGGAGCACAGGAGCGGCATCAGGTCCACCGGGTTTCCCCTTTCTGCCCTTGCCACCCTGATTCTCCTGTTTGCCAGTTGCTGGTGCCGCATCCTTCCCGCCTGACTTCATCATCGACTTGACCGATTTCTCCTTCATGTCGAGCATCAGGTCTTCCCGATCTGCCTTGATCTGATAGTCGATCAACGCCAATAAGAATTCATACGTCTTCTGAGGATGCTTGTCCGGTAGTCTATGGTAGGCATTGAGGCCGAACCCCATCTTCTTGCTCCCTTTGATCTTCCTGTAAAGGATGTCTCTGAGAGCCAGCTTACTGGGTCTGTCCTCGCTCCTCATCTTCAGCAGCAAATCATACCAATTGTTCCTGAACATGACCAAATT